AACTTGAGTGATTAGAGGTGGACCCTTAAAAGTATATACTTGCAGTCTAACTTAATTTAAACCAAAAAATGAGTGTATCTTCACAATTCATGTATTGGTTAAATACAACACTTGAAATTTCAACCGTCAAACCATCCTTAAATCTCATAGAAAATGTGATATTAAGTATACATTATTTTCTATGTATTAATACCTCATGCATTCTCTATATATACATTATGTGATTCAAACAAGTCAAAAAGTATTGTATTTTGTAAAATACATGTATACTCAGAATACAGTATTTAGAATATAACGTCAAAAACGAGTCCTTTACGAGGTAGTTAGACAATTAGATGGTGACATCATACCATACGTGATAAAATTTAATAATTATTTGGGAGGTGGTGCATCTGCTTCTGCTTCTGCTTCACGTGAAGGAGACAGGGAAGAATGGTGGAGTAGAATAGAGGCTACCGTTTATCATCAAAGAGGGACCCCAACCTCTGTTCTTTTGGGGTCAAATGTGGAAGCAGCTTATTTTTTACGCCCCACCTCATTCGACCCAATACTGCATCAGCAAAGCAATAATTCAGCAATGGCCAATACTACGGTGCCGCACTAAAAAGTGCGACACCGGTGACGCAATTTCTGATTAGGCCACGTGGCGCTGACGTGGCATGGCTGGTTTATTTAGTTTGAGTCCAAAGCCTACTGACCTATTGGAATTGGCCCGAACCGAAGCCGCACCCAAACGAACGGATTCTTTCCGTTAATTTTTTCCCCATATTATTTTGTTCAGTTTTTTTTCCTCCAGAAACCAAGGAAACGAAGGGAAAGTCGATCAGTTTGGCGTCGATCTCCTCCGGCGAACTCCACCCACTCCGATCGGAACTCCATCTCTTCCCATACTCTGTCACCGTATTCCTTCTCCACCATTCATTCTGTGAAAAAAAAACTGACGAATCCCTAGGAAACGAAGGGAAAGTGAAGCAGTTTGGCGTCGATCTCCGTATCTCAGTCGAAACTATTCCGGCGAGAATCAAAACAGCGTCGGCGAACTCCACCCACTCCGATCGGAAATCCATCCCCTCCAATAAACTCCTTACCGTATTCATCCTCCGCCATTCAGTCTGTGAAACAAAAAGTGACGAATCCCTATTACGGGGACGCCCTCTGTCTGCGTCGAACTGCTCTGCCGACACCGACAATCACTCGCGCGCGTAAGAGAAGAGTTCCTCACTCTGCCCAGTCCCCTCGGTCTGCACCCTTCCTGTTGACGAAGCGGAAGTCGAAGTTCTGACATTGCCTAACACAGCAGGTCGAATCCCTAGTACTGGGAGGCCCTCTCTGGCTCTGTCTGCGTCGAACAGCTCTGCGCCACCGACAATCCCTCGCGCACATAAGAGAAGAGTTCTTCGCTCTGCCCTGTCTCCTCACTCTGCACCCTTCCTGTTGACCAAGCGGAAGTCGAAGTTCCGACATTGCATAACACAGCAGGTTTGGAAGTGAAATTGATGCTTTTGGATGGCATGATTTGGCCTATGTAATGCTATCTTTTGATAGGTGTGGTGACTGCAAATCATTGTACGATTAGAGCTTGTACATTTTGTGAATTCCCCAAATAAGATAAGAACAGATGGGGTTTTGTGGTATTCTTTCAACATTGTTGCAATAACTGCTGACTTGTCAGGAATGGGTATACCGCACCGAAATCCACTATTTTGATATACTGTTAGAAGAAGATCAGTCCTTTCAAATCAGGAGGTCATGTTTTTAGTGGTGCGAGGCAAAAAAAACACGGAGGTAGGAGGTAAAGGTGTTGAGATCACCGAGATTTTGCCGCAGTGTGACGATGTGGTGAAAGGGTGATTGTATTGACTCACTATAGCAACAACCGTTTGTCAAGGTAGGTTGTTCCTGAATCCTGAGTTATATAGTTTTGTGAAAGTGAAAAACTTATGAATTACTACTTACCATCATCGGTTAGTTCATTATAAGTCAAGGGACCGATGAGATACACAAGTGAGGGACGCCAAGAAGAAGGTGAAGACTTCATACTAGAGAAGTACAAACCAAGGAAAAACCGAATGAGAAGAAATCCATGAAAGAGTTTGCGGAGCTGAAATAGGAAGTTACAAAGTAGGAAGGAACTTTTAAATTTCTAGGTCTTGTTCCATAGGTACATTTGCTGAATTATTTAATGAACTTGGCCACTCTTTCATCGATTTTTTTCCTTCTTTCAGACTCCAATAACACAGTCGACCTGTCTTAGGTGTTGTTGCAGGTTAGTGCTTAAGCGAATTGCAGATTTTTTTGAAGTTCTCAAGTTTTGTTTATTTTTATGTACTCTCGAGGAAGGAGACTTGCTACAACAGATTAGCAGCACAAGTAGAAAGTTCATGATCTTCTTCTTTTGACAGAAGCATAATCATTTTAGGTTGTGTTTAGTGATAACTTGAGAAGCCAAATAGTAGGGCTAGGACTATGTGTATACTGCTCAGTCTGTGCTTGCTGCTCAGTCTGTGGGAGAACCATCGACACAGATGACGTAAGGGTTATTTTCTAGCTTTTTTTTCAGCAAGTTGTTCACATATTTATGCTGACCCACTTTTGCAAAAGCTCGATTTAGTTTTAAAGATTGTTCTGGTGCAATTCTCTTGAAAGAGTTTTTGGTTCATTACTTGCAAGCTGTTGCATGCTCATTTTATTTCCTTCATTCAGTTAGGTCGGTTACTATATGATGTGATCAAAATGTGATTGGCAGCCTGACCATTTTTTAATTATCTTGCTGTTAGTTTCAAATTCGGCTCTAGTATTTTATAAAACCTTGGCAAACCATTGTTGCATCCTATTTATCCTTGTGGTCGTCTGCCATGAATGCTTCTTTTTAAATTTTCAGGTTTTTCCATCTGTTGTTTGGAGTTTGTATGCTGCAATGACAACAGCAGACAGACAGAGACTCTGTATACTGGGATTGTTAAAACTTTAATATGACAAATTATGTGAAATCTGTTGGGTATAAAACACAATTACCTGAGTTCATGGTGTACGCGTGTATACATTTTCGAGGGTGAGATTTGTAAGGATTGAGTAATTGTGATAGGTTGATCTTGTGCTTTTGCTCTTCTATCTCAATTTGGCTTGTTGAAATGTCAGAATACTTGCTTATTAAGTGTTCTGTTTCTCCGCTTTTGCTTCTAATTAATCTCACATTATCACCACACTTCCATTTGAACTTCAGCTTATTTTGTATAACAACATTAGTAATGTAATGGAACTCATTCCTTCCTACAATGACAGTACAAGATTTGCAAAGGAACAACTCACTTGCCTTGGCTGAAAATTGAGCAGTAAGCAAGTACAAGCCTTGGACAATCATTTGCTCTCTACTTCAGTTCAAAGAAGCAGCAGATAGCATAAGGATCTGAGGGTTAAGCTAATTTAATTTGCTCTCATGACAACTGTGAACTCTCAATAAGGTGAAACTATACAGAACAGAGATGCCTGAAGATGATCCTTCATGCCATTTTGCTATTGTGACTTTGTGAGGCTTGGCCGCCCTCAAGTTTAGTATTCTTTACATATGATTTCTAACCTTTTCTTTTCTTTTGTTATGGTTATATTGTTTTAAAATATACTAAACACAATTGAATCTGCAATTGCAATATACCCCCGCGGCGTAGCCGTGGGTATTGATTCTAAGTTATAATGACTCCTCAAAGTTCAAACACCATGTGAATCCGGTACTAATTAGCAAGAGATAGTCCGTATAGTTACAAGAACATCCTTAGTGCTAGGCTGCTTCTCGCAATCGGATTCCATCCTTTCCTTCGCTTATCTTTTGTTTTACCTGATTGAGTTTCATTGTCTACCCAGGTAAATTGATACGGCAACCGTGCCTTGGTTTCATGGTCGGGAGAGCTTTACTCCCATGAGTGGCTCGGGAGTGATCTGCGTTGACCGGTTAGTGCTACGCGATGATGGCATGATGTACTGAGATGAGGGCAAGAAGTTTTTTTCCTAGGAAAGATTATGAATTCACATAACCTTCTTATTTCCTTTGTGCTGCTCAACTTTCACTTGCATTCTACTGAAGAGGACTAAGGAACTCCAAGTTGAGGCGGTATTACGTTCCCTGGTGCTGAAGCCAAAGGAATTGCTGTTGATGTGTCATCTCAGAAGACTGTTTGTGAAGGATCACCTAGGCGATACGTGCACGGTTCGAGTGACTAGGTGTGTGGAAACCTTTTGGCGAAGAAGTTGTGTCGTAAAGACAACATTATAATGGAAACCTGTAAACTTGGAATAAACCGCATGCAAAGTACTGGTTTTTCATTGACAGTAAATATATATTCCTGGTCTTTCCTTTTATTGATATAAATTCAAGCAAAACAATTTTGCAATGAATTCAGTATTCAAGTAGAACTTCCAAAATGAAACTATGAATCCTCAAATCAGCTTGAAGTAACATCACAATGTAAGTAAAATATGGCTGTGGAAATGGTCCATAAGAATCAACAAGTAATCCGGTGAGTTAAGAATGTAAGCTGCATCAACAAAAATTCAATTGATGTGTGGCTTCAATGATGGAACTCTGCTATTGACGCTAATCTACAGTTAAGGAATCATAGTCAGTAGAAAGATAAACTTCATAAGCTTTTTCCTGGTTTCAGCCTCTTCATAATCTGTTTTCCAATTTCATTTTTCAGCCTCTTGCCTGGTTTTGGTTGTCCATCGGAGGGATCTGATTTCGGAAAGTGTGCAACTGCTTTACCAGTTGTGAAACTATGATCAGAACTTACCCTTGAACAGCAAAGAAATGTTCTTTTTCAGCTTTGCTATCAGACCAGGATTATCCTCATTCATATCAATACTAGTAATAGCGGCACTAGCGAGATACAGGGGCAACGATGCGGAGAAGACATAACCAGAGCTGCTCAATCGCTGATTCACAACAAAAACTGTTAGTTTTAGAATCTAGAAAGAGACCCCAGGTGAGAGAATAATTGAAGAGAGCTGATGATAATGAGCAGACTTCACTCTCATCATCAGTACTATGAGTCTAATTCAGCAGAGCGCTTACACTACGCCCTGTACGCGCCACCGTAGCGAAATTCTTTACAAGTGTTATTAGACCCGTAACCACCACCACTCTTATAACTATCCATTAGCTTGTTTGTCAACTTAGGGATGATACCAGGGAGAAAATCTGAAAAATGCAGCACAGAACTTTACAAACATCTTTTCACCTGCATCTTAAATTCAATAAATCACTCCAATACATCAGTCTCCTCATCATCACTACGCCCTCAAACATGGAAGCCATTTTCATTGCCAGATTTGTAGCCATTTTCCTTCACTGCACGAGCATCAATCTCAACCCATCTCTTATATTCCCTATTTCAACTATGGAAATAAATGGCAAAGGAGATAGTAACAGCAATCGAAGGCTAGGCAAATACAGCAAACTAGAGAGATGAGAGAGAGTAGAGAGAGAAATTCTGAGAGGGCGAGGCAGCTGGGGAGTCGCCGGTTTCACGGCGTTCCTTTTTCTTGCAGGTCTGGAGCTCCCGGAGCAGAGGACATCGGCGGCAACGGCGGAAAGTGTCAGCAGAGGACGAGGTTTGGTAGGAAACTAGTCACAATCAATCGACAAGCTTCAGGCAACATGGTGTGGTACAGATTACAGGTGGAGGATGGTCTAAGGCGATGGTTCATTCTGTTAAATGAGGATCACATCGTATGGCTGCAAGGAGTTCTTCAAACGGCCGCCATGAGACAGTGGGTTTTCCCTGAACTCAGTGTCAAGAGGTTCCATGGCAGAGTCATTCATGTCGGGAAGCTCAAGATGCGGCAAGGAGTTTTTCTTCAAATCTCTGAGCAAGTGCGGTCTGGAAGAATTTTTAAGGTCTTGATTCCTTCCTCTGGCCCTGTAGAAGGATGGACAGGTCTGATTAGGTTGCTACAATCCTTCTACAAACGAGAGCTCCAATTCAGGTTGTGTCTGACCCGTTTTCTCGCGTCCCTTCCACTCCCCCCGCCTCCACCTCCATTGACATCATCCACAAGATCATTTGCAGAAGTGGTAAGGGGCGGAGGCCTATATGGTGGAGGAAAGAGTAGTATCAAGAGTGACGGCAAAAACAGATTCATTGATGTGGAAGAAGATGGAATCTCTGAGAGAGAGGAGCTTCTGGGAAGAAGCCTGATAATTAGCTTCTCTTCTCCAGGAACGTCAGTTTTCAAAAGCAGCACAGTTCCAGATTTCAGAGTGTGGGCTTCAAGATACTGGGCAGTTGATGACAATTTCGATTTCCTGGACCTAGCTGACGGGAACTGGCTGTTAGTATGTCCTTCGGTGTCGGAAGCCATCAGAATTAAAAACCTGAATTACTTGAGCTTCAAAGAGTTCTCAATTTTAATCTATCCTTGGCTAGAGCGGGCTTCAGCCCCTGTTTCCGACGGCGTTTGGATCCTAGTTTTCGACATCCCGATCTCTATCAAAAGTGTTAATCTGATATCGACCATTGGTAATTTTTGTGGGTCCTTCATCGAAGTCGATTGGAACTCTTGGGGTCTTGATTTCGTGCGGATTCGTATCAAGAGAACTGGACGGATCCCGGGAACGATTCCTCTTCATGTCGGGACCCATCGTTTTACGGCGAGAGTGGTTGTTTTGCCGGCGAGGCAGATCAACAATCAGCACCGGAAGGGCAAGGAAGTTCAATTTGAGAAGGCGAAGAGACACGCCTCGGCTAAAGCAGTTCGATCTTCCCCATGCGCAGACGTACAATTTGTGGCGGCGAGAGAAGACCCTGGCGCGGCTCTCCGCAACGTTTCGAGACCCAGGACAGCCAAGCCCAACCGGTCCCAGATTTGGATTAGAAAGGCTGGCCCACACTGGTATGGGCCTCATCCTCCCACCCTTTTGGACTCAAGCTTGGACAATGAGGGTTACACCGATCTTGTGGTCCAGCAGCAACCTCCTCACCTTGATTTGCAGCCAGTCAAGCCCATTACCTTCCCAGACTTAGCGGTGTTCTTATCCAATTTCTTTCCCTGCCCAGAAGCCCCCATTCCGTTCCTTTTCTCCTTTGACCCGAATCATTCCCCCTCTCCTAGGATCAGCATTTCCCTCCCCAACTTTCTTGGTTTCAATTCCCACATCCTCATTTCTCCCATCCACTCACCGCTTCCCCTAATCCTTCCCTCCCCCTATTCCGAAACCTTTGCAGCCTCTCTCAGACTTCCTTCCACCTCCCCTCCTTCCACCCAGCTTAATTGCAACCCCTTATCTCAAAGCCCTGTTGAGTCCCCCTTGCCCTCCTCGCCATCGTCCCCCTCCCTTTCTTTCGTTCCGGAAACCCCTGCGGCTGTGGATTGTTCTTCTGATCCGACCTTCCCTCCCCATCTTGCACCCGTGATAATGATCGGTTGTCCTGGGACTCTGACGTGTTTCCCTTTGACTCAGACACATTAGTTGCAAGCTCCTTGGATATAAGCAATCTGTTCGATCTAGAGCACGAAGACGGTCAGCGACAAGTGGAAGAAATAGTTACTGAAGTGGCGGTTGCAATGCATAAGAGGAAAATCAAGAATGGGCGATCAAAATTAGAGATGGAAAGGCGACGTTTAGGTACCATTTCCCCTCAACCATCAGGGCCTAGAAGATGTAAGAAGATTTCGGGTGGAGTTTCTCTATTTGCTCCTGATCAATGAACACAGCAGTATTTATCTGGAATGTTAGGGGTGTGTGTGATCCGGTGAAAAGAGGTCGGATTAAACAGCTTATTCGTAGAAGAAAACCTCAGATAATCGCCCTTGTGGAAACAAAGTGGTCTTCCTGCTCTGACTCCCTTGTGACCAGTGTGTGTGGCAGTAGAGATATGGGGTGGGTTGCAAAAGATTCTGCGGGTAGCTCAGGAGGTATCATGATATGTTGGGACAAAAGCAGGTTTCAGAGCTTATCTAGTTTCACTGGATCTTTCTTTTTGGCGGTTGAGTTCCTGGACTGTCTCACTTCGGCCAATTGGCGTCTTATCACTGTTTATGGTCCGCAGGCGAGAGTGGACAAGATTGCTTTTCTGAATGAGTTGAACTCTTACTGTCATCAGTTTCATCAGTCCCCTCTCTGTATCGCTGGAGACTTCAATCTGGTTAGATCTCACGATGACTACATAGGTGGGAGAAGAAATCCAGATCTTATGCGTAGCTTTAACGAATTCATTGATGATAATGAATTGCTCGATCTCCCCATCAGTGGTTGTCGCTTTACTTGGAGCCTCGGAGACAGCAGTAATTCTCAATCCCGCATCGATAGAGTGCTGATTTCCCCTGAATTCGACGCCCGGTTCAGTGATTGCAGGCTGGTTGGACTTGAAAAGGTCGAATCTGATCATTCTCCGCTATTCTTTCAGTGGGGTGGTAACAGAAGAATTAAGCGTCCTTGGAGGTTTGAGAACATGTGGCTTGAAGATGACCGATTTTACACAAGTCTTGATGTTTGGTATTCGAATCCTATACAAGGAAATGGCGTTGTGTTTCAGAATAATTATGAGGTTGAAAGACCTGAAACAGAAGATCAAACAGTGGAATAAGGAGGTCTTCGGAAATATTCACGTCAGAGTTGACAATCTGCTGAAGGAGATCTCCGAATTATGCCTAGCCAAAGAAACTCGGGCCTTATCAGTCTCGGAAGTTGCTGCTCTCACCGAAAAGAAGATGGATTTGGGTAAAGCATTGTATTTGTAGGAAATTTGCTGGAGACAAAAATCCAGGGAAATTTGGCTTAAGTTTGGGGATCAAAACACCAATTTCTTCCACAGGATGGCAAATTTCAGAAAGAAAGTAAATTTCATTTGGAGAATCAAAATCAACGAGACCATGGTCGAGGATCACAAAGCTATTTCTACCGGTGTTTCAGACTACTACAAAAATCTTTTCCTGGAAAGTGTTCAGAATCGTCCTTTTCCGCGCTCCTATGGTGATAAAATGCTGAGCTATTCTGAATCATCATCTCTTGAAGTGCCCTTCTCTGAAAAGGAAATCTGGGAGTGCCTTGCTAATAGCGACGGTACTAAGGCTCCGGGGCCCGATGGGTTTACTCTCGATTTCTTTAAGAAATGTTGGAGCACGATTAAAGGGGATATTTTGGGTGCTTTCCAGGAATTCCATGAGACCGGATCTCTTCCTATCTGCGCTACTCACTCTTTTATTTGTCTTGTGCCTAAGAGAGATGCTACTGAGAACTTAAAGGATCTCCGCCCCATTGGTTTGATGGGAAGTGTGAACAAACTCATTTGCAAGGTTTTGTCGAAGCGTTTGGGGCGAGTTCTTCCATCTTTAGTCTCTGATTTCCAGCAGTCCTCTGTCCAAGGAAAGCAGATTGCGGAAGCGGGCCTCCTCGCCAATGAGTTGGTGGAGAGTAGAAGAAAGAGCAGGAAACCAGGTTTAATGCTTAAGCTCGACATCGAAAAAGCTTTTGATAATGTCAACTGGAGCTGTCTGTTTAAGGTCCTCTCGCGATTGGGCTTTGGAGAAAGATGGAAGAGGTGGATTCGCAGTGCTGTTTGTTCTCCTACCCTTTCGGTTTTGGTCAATGGCGAGTCCAAAGGCTTTTTCCCGGCTCAGAAAGGGCTGAGGCAAGGGGATCCTCTATCCCCAGGCCTCTTTGTTCTTGTCATGGATATTTTATCTTTCATGATAACCAGACTGCAGACCGAAAGGAAGATCGCTGGTTTCTGCATGGATGAAGATGGGATGAGAGGGGAAGTTACTCACCTCCTATTCGCTGACGACACCCTCATTTTCTGCGACTCTTCATATGAGCAGGTTATTCACATCTCAGCCACTCTCGCTTGCTTCCAAGCTGTAACAGGATTGAAAATTAATTTGGATAAAACAGTTCTCTATACTGTGGGGGATGTTCCAGAACCGGAGTTTTTTGCCGACATCCTTGGGTGTAAATGGAGCTCTAGTCCCCCTAAATACCTCGGGTACCCGCTTGGAGCAAAGCTGAACAATAGAGAATTCTGGGATTCGATCGTGAATAACTATCAGAAGAGGCTTCAAAGATGGAGCAACAGGTATCTCTCTCTAGGAGGACGGCTGACTCTGTTAAAATCTGTTCTTACTAGCCTCACCACGTATTACTTTTCTCTGTTTAAAGCTCCAAAAGGAGTGATATCCGATCTGGAGAAGTTACAAAGAGACTTTCTGTGGAGTGGTATTGGGGATAAAAAGAAAACTCCTCTCGTGGGGTGGAAGTTGTGTAAATCGCAAAAAGAGAAGGGAGGATTGGGAATTGTGGATTTAGCCTCTTTCAAGAGTGCTATGCTCAGTAAATGGATCTGGAAATATGCTGTTAGTAGAGAAACATGGTGGAGATCCCTCATTGATATTAAATACTCGAGCGGGCATTCACAATGGCACACAGGTTACAGAAGTAGGGGTCGAGCTACTTCGGTTTGGGTTAATATTATGAGGGAAAGTAATCTCTTTTGGAGGTTCGCCCTTATTGATCCAGGAAACGGTTCTGAAGTATCCTTTTGGTTCGACCGGTGGATTCCAAACCTCACTCTTGCTGATGCTTTTCCAAGAATTGCCGCTGCTGCCTCTAACCCGGAAGCCAAGATCAGCGACGTCGTGGAACTCTCAGGTGAGAATCTCAATATCAATCTTGATATTAATATAGTGCTGAGAGGAGGGGCTGAGCGGGAGAGGTTAAACTTGCTGTCCATTCTTAATTCTTATGACTTTATATCCAGAATTAACAGCCCTTGCAGAGTTGTTTGGCAGCCTAACCCGGAAACGGGCTTTACAGTTAAATCGATGTACAAAACTATCATTGAGGAAAAGTTTGCTGGGGAGCCTAATTTCCCCTTCAAATCGGTCTGGAGAAAGGTGGTTCCGGAGAAGATATGTCTGTTCGTTTGGATTGCTACGCTTCAAAGAACTTTAACTCTTGATACTTTCAAGAAACGGGGTGTACAGCTGGCTAATAGATGCGAGCTATGCTGCAGTGAAGAGGAATCAATTGAGCACATCCTGACTAGATGTAACTTCACCAGCCAGGTGTGGAAAGAGTTTGAGAAGGGCTGCAACTTTACTAATCCGGCAGTGGGCGATAATCTCGCTGCAACTATTGAGAAATGGCCTGCTTCTATTCCTAGCAGCCTTGAAGGATGGATTAAATATTGTGCTTTTCATGGCGTTTCTTGGTTCATTTGGCTCGAACGAAACCAGAGACTTTTTCACAATGTTTCATCCAGTCCAGATCAGATTGCCACAAGATCAATCAATAATATCTCAAGGTGGATTACAGCCAAAGAAAAAGCAGATCGCGTCTCTGTCACTGCCTGGCTTCAATTGTTTCGCCACTGGATTCTCTAAGATGGCATCTGTGCGCTCCTCGCGGATGGCTGGGTCTGCGTGCTTTCCCCGGCCGCTTGCTGTTCTTGATAGAGTGGCTTGCTTCTGGGCGATTGTGAAGTTTCCCCTGTAATTTTCGTTTTCTCTTGTCCTTCTTTCCTTCTTTCTTCCCTTTCTTCTGCGTCTGCTTCTTTTGTTGGCACTCCTGGTGCCTTGTTGTATCAGACTCCTTTCTTTTCAATGCAATTTTCACCTTCATCAAAAAAAAAAAAACAGATAGTAACAAACTTTCTTCATGAGGTAATGGTTGTTCAGCCATCTTATTTCGAGATTTCAAAACCATTCCAGTCCAGATATGAGCAGAAAGTGCACCAAAGCTTCGTTCCATCCCTTGACTGTCACCATTAACGAACAGACCTGTGACGAATAGAAGTTTATTACTACTCTTTTTCAGTTAACAAGAACCTTGATTAAGCTTAAATAGAGATACTGGCAGCCTAACAGGGAGAAAATCTACATTTTGCAGAAAGATTCTGCCACTTAGAAGGTGTTAGTGTTGTGGTATATGATCCACGATTGAACCTCTCCCAACAACTCGAGTTATTGGGATCAACTGGTTCTTGACATGGTATCAGAGCCTTCTGTGACCGAGAGGTCTTGTGTTCGATTCCCAATGACCCCCATTTGTTAAGCACATGGTATTCTTGTCTTCAGACATGTGCAAACTTCCAGCCCTTGTGAGTGGCTTTCGTTTGAGGGGGCGTGTTAGTGTTGTGGTATATGATCCACGATTGAACCTCTCCCAACAACTCGAGTTATTGGGATCAACTGGTTCTTGACATAAGCGCCACTAATTAGTCTGTTCTTTAGATCACTATCATCAATAAAGCCAAAGAGCAAAGGACAGAGCTTTACTCATAATTTTCAAATTCGGGATTAGAAGCACAAGCTTCAATGTACTCAATATTCCGATCAGTGCACCACTCAAAACATGACCTCCTGATTTGAAACGACTGATCTTCTTCTACCACTTCTTCTGTGTCTTCATTATTCACTGACAAATTGGCACCTTCGCTTTCAGTGATTCCGAACTCATCAGAGGCAGACTGCTCAAGCTCGAGCTTTAGTCGCCGCCGCAACAACAGCCTTCTGTATTCTTGGTGAACGGGATGGCCCGGAACAGGATCTACTTTGTTAACGACGCATAACAGTATTTCAAAATTGTGGATTTCGGTGCGGGATACCCATTCCTGAATTGCAGCAAGCAACGAGAGCACTTCAATTCTTGTCCTAGTTTCTCAAAAAACAAACGAATTGAATTACCAGAACGCGAGGGGACGACGCAGAAGGAGGGACGACGCAGAAGGAGGGACTCTTTTCTTTTGCGCGGGATTTGTCGGTGTCGGCAGAGCACTTCCACGGAGACAGAGGGCCTCCCGGTGCTAGGGATTCGTCGTTTTTGTTTCAATGGAGGAGGAGGAATACGATGCAGGAGTTTAGTGGAGGGTATGGAGTTCCGATCGGTGGAGTTGGCCGGTGGAGTTGGCTATTCTCACAGTAAGATCGGGCCGAGAGCTCGACGACGAAGACTCCCCTAGGATTTTCCTTTTCCTTCTTTTTTTTTTCAAGATAAAATTAAATGCATATAAAAGTTAAATCAATTTAAAATTAATTATTGAAAAAAGGAACTTCCGTCTGTGGCTAGCGCTTTCGGTTTGGACAATTCCAAATTCGTATGGGTCATGGGCTCGAAATAAGGAAACCAGCCCATGCCACGTCAGCTCCACGTGGACCAATAGAAAACGGCGTCGTAGTATTGGCCTTCAGCAACACCACACCAATTCATTTCTTGGGCCCGCCTCATTGGGCCTCCAAGGGTTGCTAATTGCTGAAGCATTCCAGGTACCATTTTGTTTCTCTATTAGATGGATTCATGAGTGGTCATTATTTTATGCCCATCCAAAGATTCATTAGAGATATAAGTAGGGGTGTACATGGGTCGGGTGGTCCGGGTTTAGGCATTTTAATCACCCGACCCATGCACTACGGTTTGAAAAATATTAAACCTAAACCCATCCGAAAAAATTTAAACCCTACGGTTTGTTTCTAATTGGGTTGGGTCGGGTTGGCGGTATTTTTAAGTAAAAACCCAACCCAACACAAAATATGTAATTATTCTACACCATAAAAATATTTTATAACAAATTAAAAATTCAAACGAATAAACCGAGGTGAAAGGTATAAAAATTCACAAATATTGTTTGAATTTTAATAAAATTTTATTTACCTCAACTTATGTCTAGTTTTTTTCACGGCATTTTTTGAAATAGGCTAAAAAGATTACAAATGAACGCATCCATAATATGTTATTCTATTAAAATTGTACACAAGAAAAAGAATTACGTGAATCATAGCTATATTAAATCTATGACTAAACTTTAAGTCGAAGAATGCATTAGATTAGTGAGACCTTAAGAGAAAAACATGGCAAACTATCTTAATTTTTTCATAAGTATGGCTATATACGACATAAATATTTTTTTGGATACGAACTCGTACTAATAATTGGAACACGGGTTGGGTCCGGTTCTACGGGTTGTGTAATCCAAATTCAAACCCAACCCAAAAGAGGCGGGTTGTACAAAAGAAAACCCTCACCCAACCCAAAACCTTCGTTTTAGCGATAAATACGGGTGAGTCGGATCGGGTTGGACGGGTGGGTCGGTTTAAGGGTGTTTTTGTTCACCCCTAGATATAAGAGCGGAGAATCCAGATAAAATTGTATGGAAAATCGCGTCTAAATTATACGATATGGGTTGGTCGGGTTGGTCTAGACCGTGAAATTAGAATTATAATCTAATCTGGTTTACGGTCTTTTCCCTTTGGTGTATGGTCTGACGCGACTTGGACTGCGATAAACCGCTACTAATCTAAATCAAAATAACACTGTCATTTCTCAACGTCACCGCAGTGGGGATTGAGTGCGAAAACCTTTCAGAGCACCTGGGAGAGGGAGAGGGAGAGGAAGAGACAACACAAAGAGGAAGAGAGACAAAGTTATTTTTTGTGTTTTTATTTTATTTTAAGTGGATACTTGATAGAGTAGTGGAGACTGGAGTGGGAGTAAGAAATCAAGAAAGTAAACTTCCCCCTCATATTTCCTTGAGGATAGATTACATTCACTAAATTTTTGTTTCACTAGTATATTAGGCACTGAACTTTTTTATTTTTATGGATACAAAGGAGGAACTAAAAATTGGAGAATAGTTAAGTTTTGTTGAACGTGATATGCTTGATCCAGATCGTATCAATCATATCGTACATACATGATTTGATTTGGACCGTAAAATATATAATGTTCTAGTCTATGTTCTAACATATCGATATAGATCTCAGATCGTACATATGATTTGGTGTGGTCCGAACTGCACCATTTCCCACCCCTGATTTATACGATCACACCTTTATTGCTCTCCTTCCTTTTTGTATGAATATTGATTTGATTGCGATATTGCTTTCCACTAAAAAAACTCGAGGAGAAAAATGCATTACCTCCGAAACAATACATTTGGGCCCAAAGACATTTTATCAATTTAACCTTTTTCTTGTGTCTGCAAACCCAATATAACCACACTCACATTTAGGGGTGAACAAACACACTCGCAAATTGACCCACTCGTCCAATTCGACCCAACTCACCTGTATTTATCGTTAAAACTAAGGTTTTGGGTTGGGTGAGGGTTTTCTTTTATACAACCCGCCACTTTTGGGTTGGGTTTGGATTTTGGATTACACACCCGTAGAACCCGACCTAACCCGTGTTCCAACTATTGGTATGAGTTCGTATCCAAAAAATATTTATGTCGTATATAGTCGTTGTAGACACCTCATTTTGTCCAGGTAAATTATCCAACTAAAAATTCCAACTTAAATCTTGAAATGTCATAATGTCGTAAAATGTTTAGATTGACCATTGCGAATCTAGAATATTAACGATTATACAATTATTTGAATTCATTCCGGTGGATCTAATAGGATCTATTGGCTTCCAATCTCGGCTTTTGGCACAACACAAATAATAATAAAGAAACACGTTGTATTAAAATGATTGCTAATTGACAATTACAATTAGAAGAACAAATCATAATTAGTGCATACAATTTGTTCAATAAGTTTCAGGCTTTATCCACCATCTCCACCATCTCCTTTAACCCTGTGTTTTTCTACGAGAGAAAAGGGAGGGAGGGACAAGTTGGGACGGAAAGTTGGCTTCCCAAGGTACTTTCCCTTGTTTTTTAGTTTCTGAACAGTATGGAAGGAACGGAATTGGAAGGAAAATTTCACTGTGCCAACAGCCCCTCCAAAGTGGAGAGAAAACATGATTGTTGTTTTACTTTTTTTCTTCTTCTTCCATTTATGTAGTAATTGTCATGAGTTATGGAACGTAAATTTGGACATAATGCCTTTTGTTGCATACAGTTTTTTTTATCTTTATTTGGCTTGTTGGAAAGATAGTTATGAAGGATGTAGATAATTATAAACTTTGAGACATGGATAATTACGTTTGCAGTTAACATAAAATATATTATAATAAATTACCGAAAAGAAATAGTATAATAATTAAGATAAATGGTATAAATCTTACGTGAACATGTAAAAGTGTGTTACATACTAAAATCCTAGAAAGAATAAATTTGATCCTGAATAGTATTGAAAATAATACCAACTCATAATTAAATTATTTTATTATTACATAATCAATAAAATAATATATATATCATTTTCCCTTCTCCTTTTACTATTACAATCAAATTATTTTATTATTACATACCAATAAAATAACATATTCATCACACTTCCCAATACACACTTTCCTTCCCACTTTCCTCCATAAAACAACATTTTCCTCCCAATTTCCTTCACCTCCAAATCTCCCCTCCCCTCCTATTTTTCCTTCACCTCCCCTCCTTTTCCTCTCTTCCTTCGGAAACATAGTGTAAAGGAAATCAACCTTGGACTTGCAAAGCAAAGAAGAAAAATCAGTCAGTCCAAACTCCAGGCCCAGACTGAAAGAGCCCAACCCGGCCTAAAAGATCATAGCCCACAGTCAGGCCCAAGAGAGCCCAAGATCTCATGGGTCAAATCCTGAGCAGCCCAGGAAAGACCCAACCCGACGGACCGGTCAAATCGGAGCTGGTCCGACCGAACCCAGAAACCACCGCCTCTTTTTCTATAAAAGCATGCTCAATTTTCAAGAGAAGAGGGCTTTGCAGAAGGGGAAAAGATTGGGGGAAACACTGTCATTTCTTTCTGTCAGTTCAGACTTCAGAGTTATTTTCTTCTCTTCTTGGTCAGGTCGGAGAGGGAAGAAACACGGGGGAAATAAT